TTTCTGTGTACTAGTAGAAAATCAGAAAACTCAAAGAAACCATTAATAGTTACCTTTTGAAATTGTAGAAGGATGAAAAACTAGACAGTATGGAGAAGACAGACACATGAACATTAAGAAGGTATTAACTCTAAGAAGGTATTAACTCCATATTTGCCCATGATTCATTATTTAAGTGCTATCTTTTTTTCTTTATTATTATAAGTCAAAATGTAAATGTAAGATAATATACTAAACACAAAGATTTCTGAAATAAAAGGTGGGAAGTCAAGATCAGTACAGTTACTTTTGCCTGCAAATCTTCCTGTATTTATCATTTAAGTATCAGAACATCAGTAAGTCTGTATCACAGGCAGGCATTTCAGTTCAGAGTTTCACCAGGTTGCCTGCAGTGGAGTATTTTCCGGTACTTTAAAGAGCATTAGCGGAGTATTTTCGGGTAGCCTACAACATGTATTCTTCCTATTTAAATACCTTCTTCGTCTTGCCATGCTTCAGGTCCAACTTCAGTTGCTGGTTCTGCTGCAGCAGCGACTTCATGCTGTTCTTCAGTTCAGTCACTTTAGCCTGCAGCATAAACTTATCTTTCTGAGTCACCGACAGGTCTTCCCTCACCATTTCCAACTCAGTCTTGATATTCTAAATGGGAAAAAAAGACTCAACGTGATGCAGGGAAACGGTATAAAAATTTTAGCCGCCTAATGTTTTTATCATTTTTTTTCAGTTTCCAGGAGAAACTAGAAAGAGAAACAACACATAACACTGCTATTTGAAATCAATTTGCCCTGGCAGAAAACCAGAAATTAGATAAAAAAAGTCAGTAGCCTATTTTAATGATGTAAGGTCAAGGAAATAGCTAACAGCACAGTCAAAGTAAAACTGAGAAAAGTAAAGACACTGCAAAACATATAGTGAGTAAGTTTTTATGAATAAAAATTTATAAAAAAAAGTATCAGAAAAGTATCAGCATAAGTATGCTTTTAAACAATAAAAATATTAATTATCCCCCTACAGCAATACCAGTTATCCATCAGAATCTCCACCGGCTAGATTAAATACCTGCAAGACAACTTGCATCCCTTCTAACTCCTTGTGGCTGCGCTGTTCACTCATATCCAGCTGCTGCTTAAGTGTTTCAATTTCTCTTTCTTTTCGTTCTACTTCCCACTTGAGGTCTTCCACCTACCAGGGGGCAGGGAGGGAAAAGTATCTTTAGAATTATCTATAGGTGCAATCAACAACAAAATCTGAAATTTATTATTATGTGTCACGAACACTTTCTGGTTCTAAGAAAACCTAGCAAAACTTCATTAAAAAATGCTGAATTAAAAACAAATTAAGTCATACAATGCATCATAAATAAGGATAAACACAGTAAATGTGCAGTTTTTACCTCTTGGCTTACTACAGGCTGTTCACTAAGCTTGTCGTCCAGTTTTTTCTGCAGAAGTTGGAGCTGAGACCTGGCTTCTGCCAGCTCTTGCTGAAACTGTGATACCTCCTGGGAATGTTTTTCATCCTCTACCCTGCACAGCAGAATTAACAGACACAGCAGTTATTCAGTCTGTCCTTTAAATCAAGTACTTCACTGGGTTAGCTTTGTAACCATAAATGACATGACAGCGCATGGAACCCGGTTAGTTATAGCTTTGACTGAAGACTTTGCCAACACATTCACAGCAAGAGTTAAATCACAAAAAGATTTGATATGAGACAGATGCATGAATATATCATTAAGTACTGGGGCGGGGGGGGGAGGGAATCCCTGAGCACTGGTAGTAGTCCAGTTACAAACAATAGATTATGCAGTAAAAAAACAAACAAACAAACCAAAAAACCTGTCAGCAATTTTGCTTTTGTTTTAGGAGGAATAGGGTTAACCTTATATCCACGCTCATGTAGGTCTGACAACTTCTTATAATTTAAGAAAATATCGTCTATACAAGAAAACAAATTGAATTTGAATATATTGTGGAATATATTCAACAATCAAATTCATCCTCCATGTAGTTCCTCAGGGATGTGAAAGAGAGAAGAATAATAGGATATATATGAAGTGTTAATCCTTCCTAGTAACATGAAATAGTAGAAATCTGTGTTGAAACTGTAAAAAAAGCAGATGGTAAAGCCTAAATACAGCGCATTTCAGGTCTAATTATGAAGAGACAGAAAAATGCAAGTATTCGCCTAGAGTCCAAACATGCATCTTATGGTCAGGCTCAGCTGGGGTACATTTCAACATAATCTACTCCAGAATGGCAAAACCAAAAATTCACTAATGTATGGATTTTTCAGAGGATTTTTTTAATTTACTATTCTCTAAGAATTTGGACATTTACTTACTGCAGTTTGTCCACTTCAACCTGAAGGGCTTGGACAAGCAGTTCTTTGGCATGTAGCTCTTTCTTGATTTCACTGAGCTCAAGCACAGCAGCTCTGTAATGACGGCGGTTATGCGCTGCATCCGCTTTGGCTGCTGCTTCCTACAAGAAAAAAAAAGATGCAATTTTTCTTTGTTTTATCACTGTAGGTTAATCATAAAGAGAGCTAGACTAAAGGGGTACAAAACAAATCAAGAAGGAAGTTGTGCAGCTGTTAACACTTCTCTTTTTGTCTAAAAAAGTTATTATTAGTGTTGTTATCCTTATTAATGCTAATGGCGGTTAATAACTATATATAATAGAAGAAGCACGTTTGTCAGGCTGCTTCTTCATTGTGAATTTTTGGATGAAGTATCATTACTTCAGGATATGTCCCGTGCATTACAAGTCATAATGGAACCTTCCTGGTAGTCAGTGAGTACGCTTAACACAGGGCACAACAGAAAAGACATCTTTCAGCTACTGGCCATCATGACAGAGACCCTGCAGTATGTTATAAAGCATAGATTTTGTTTCAAGCTACTTTTCAAATACTTTACATTTAAATCACCTTTTAAGTAAATAAAACAAAAGATGAGCCATTACCTGCTTCTTAAGGTCTTTAACTTTTGACTTTTCTTTCTCTAAGGAAGCCTGTAAAGCTTGAATAAGTTGTTGCATTTGCTGATCCTCTTCCTCCTTCCGCTTTAGGACTGCCTGAACCTGTATCACATCACAAAAACAAATGCACATTTTGTGAGGGCTCACTGGAAGACCAGAAATGCCAGTAAAGGAAATATAAACACAAGCCAAGGCAGGGATCGCAAAACTTCTCTCTGCTGCTCACTGATAACTCTTTCCTCATGGTACCCTTCAACCTTAAAAGCAGCTATGGTTAAGTGGTAGCTCATTGCCTATATTCCCATTTGCTTATACCCCATGAATATATTACTATTGGCATAAAAATAATTCATCTCAATAAATCCGTATGTAACACACTTTGTATGTTCCAACTAATTTAAGTGAGCCACACTTTCACTATTGCAAATATTTTAATGTGATTTGTTTTTTTCCAAAAGAAACAGCTCTGTTTAGGGCAAAGTATCATTTCTGATCTCTTGTTTAGCCCCCTATATTACTGCTGTTACACAACACACGGGAGAAAATGCACCAACTTTGTATGATATGTGTGAAGACTTCTACATCTTATCATCAGAAATATAAGCTAATTCCTTTCTGAAGATATTATATCAAAAGGTCAAATACCTGCAGATTCAGTTGTACCAAGTCTGCCTCTCTTCTTGCTAATGCTGTTTCTAGGATATTGTTGTGCTCCCGCAAAGCAGCGTTGGACTGACTAAGACCTGTAAGTTTTCCACGTTCGTGCTCCAGTTCAAGGGCCAACTTCTTATTAATTTCTTCTAAACGTTTTATCTTCCTCCTGAAGCCTCTAGATTCCTGAAGCTACAGCCAAAGAGAGAAGAGAAAAAAAAAAAAAAAAAAAAAAAAAAAATCAAACATACAAACCCAAACAACTCCAGATTACTACCACAAAAAAATTGTGAGCTAAACTCATTAAGCGTCTTGCTTTCCTAGAGTGGGATTTCTTTTTTTTTCCTTTTTTAAATGAATACTTCAAAGTAAGTTCAGTTAGGTATTTTTTCCTTTTGGAAGACTAAAATGCTTGCCTATAAAGCAGAATCCAGAGTACTGTTAGGTGTAGATCCGGAGTAGTTGACATATATAATTTTTTGTGCGACTCTACAACTGAACACCACTACCCTGCCCTCAAAATCACTGAGCATCCATGATTCCAAATAGTTTCAAAAGATAATGATTCATCATCCTCACCGTCTCATGACCAGACACAGCTGGTATCTAATATAGGAACTACTTTTCTCTCTCATCTTGTTTTCCCCTATACAACAGTGATTCATGAAACAATGAAGAACCAGCACAGGGCAGCAAAATTAGCAAGTGTCACTGACATGATGTTTCCTATGTAAGATTCTGATTTCCTGCACTGTTGGAATAAAATTATGGTACTAAAATTTCTCCCTGCCTCTCAGGCACTTTATACTGTCACCGTGTCATCTACCATGCAAATTCAAGCAATCACCTCATCCTCAAGTTCCAGCACTTTCTCTCTGTATTCTTCTAGCTCCTGGCTGGTAAGTGAAATTACTTCTTGCAGCTCTTTTTCCAGCATCAACTTACTGCTGCTAACAGCTTGCAATTCTGTCTCCAGAGCTTGAATCCTTTCCTAAAGACAAAGGGATGACAAGCATGATTAATGTATCACCAATCTACAGGAGTAATTTTGTTTTTTGTTAAAAAGCCTACTTCTCTAGCAAATATTAAATGAGGTGCTAGTGCTTAATGTAAAGGTCTTGCTCAGAGCTTTCGACCCTTGCATCCAGCTACTGCTGTTAGTGTATTTGGTATCTTGCTCCGTTGGTCCAAGGAATTAAGAGGTTACTCCAGTAAATTAATTTTCTTATCACAGGCATAACATACATGACTAAGTTATGGCTACCCTGAAGAACTTCTAAATGTCAGTGAGAAAAAAGCAGCTAGAGTTAGAATTTTGGAAAATCTTTTGGAAAATCTTTAGATGCTGAGCCTTTAAAAAAAAAAAAAACAAACAAACACCAACAAACAAAAAAACAAAAACATGAAAAAACAAACCAACAATAAAAATTAGTCAGGAAATTTAGCACTAAGCCTGATCATCCTTTTGAGCTTGGATTACAATGGGTATCCTGAAAGATACAAGTAAAATTAAAAAAACAAACAAAAAAAAAACCCCCAAAAAACCCAACCAACACCACCAACCAAACCAAAGCTTGCCAAATCACCTCCCTCAAATGTAGTTAAGGAAATTCTCAGTGCTCAGAACACTGATACCGTGTTCTTATCTAGCTTTATATTCCAAATATTTTCATCACTTCAGGGTAAAATAGTATTTCAAGACTTATATTTAATAACAAGATAGCTCTATCTTGTACTAACAATGTTAAAAGACATCTGCGTACTTGAGCAATCTGGTTGTTTCCACCATCAGTGATTTGTGCTTTTAGTTTGCTCAACTCTGCTTCAGCAGATTCCTTTGCAGCAAGCGATTCCTGTAGCCGACGACTAAGAATGCTGACTGCATTCTCATAGGCTTTATGTTTTGCTTTCATCTCTTTCTGAGCACTTGTCAGATCTGACCCTAGACGCTTCATTTTCTGTTTCTGCTCAGTAATGGCCCTAGAGTGAAAGGAAAACCAAAACATCAGGTAAAAACCAAAAACTGCCTGAAAACAGTACTAAAAGATTAATTTTTCACATGGCCCAACAAAAAACAACATCCACTTCTCTCCTCTTGCTCCAGAGTCACCCACCTCATCAGAGAAAGCCATCAGGTTGGTAAGGTACAATTTGGCCCTCTGCAAGACAATATCTTTAAGACTCTTAATAACATTCTAAGAAAATACTTACGGTAATTAAGAGGTCTCTGTCAGAATTACTAAAACTCCAATATGAAAGAATATATGCTACTGTCTCTAAAAATAACACAGAATTTAGAGCAAGAATCCAGTCTAATCTGAGATCCTTGGTGGATATGTCAGGTATCATAAAAACCCTGTGATCACCAGTGGGGGGAAAAAAAAAAGTGGTTCTCATTAATGCCAACACTCTAGCCAGCCAAGGCTAAAATTCAATGAACGGTAATTAGGATTAGCTCCAGTATGTGCGTTGTATGGCAGAGACTGGTGGTTAAAAGCATACGTGAATCAGAGGAGAAGCTGCAACTCCTGTGTAGCATGCAATCAACACTTTGCCATGGATATGACTCTATGACTATTTAAATTTCCCAAAGGAAAGACTAGGGAATAGGAAAAAACTGATTGCTAAAAAGGTGAATACGAAAAACAAATGCTGTAGTTCTTTTTTCTGTGCTAAAAGAACACTTACTTTTTTGCTTCTTCTTGCATTTCTTCTACTTGTTGTTTTAATGCCTGATTTGCCTCAGCAAGAGATGCCATTTGTTCCTTATCAAACTGCAAAGACTTAATAGGAAGGAAAAAAGCACTCATGAGAGAAGAACAAAAGCATGTTTGCTGTATGTTCGATTATAAAAGAATAAGCATGAAATTTCAAAATTACTTCCATCTCTAAGTATAAACTGTTCCAAGGTTCTCCATCTCCTTTCTCTTTCCTTTTTATTTCTTCCCTCTGTGGCCACCACCATAACATGTATGAACAGTGTTCTAGTTTGGTCTTTGCCCTCAGATGGAGCTCGCTTTGGGACCAAGGAAACTGCTTCCACATCACACCTCTACCGCTCTTGTAGCGTGATTCTCCACACTTACTTACAGGAGATATTAATAAGCAGTCATGTATTTACAGAATGTTGGTAGGTATATGCTCAAATGTATAGACAATATTAAATATGTAAACAAGAACCTTAACTTGCAGGTGGTCATTCTCTTTATTTCCAAAGTTAATAGAAATAGCAATGAATCCTGGATGTGACACTCTCAAAGTCCAAAGCTTAACACCTTCCATACCTGTAGGCGTGTTTCCATATCGTCTCGTTCTTTCTGCACTGACTGAAGATGATTTTCTATTTCCACCATCTGCTGGTGAACCTGAGATACTTCCTTCTGTAGTTTCGAATGTTCAGATTCAAGTGACTGTTTTTCAACTTGAATTTTCAGTAGCTCTCGTTTTAAGTCTTTCACTTCTGAGTCCAGCCGCTTCTTTGTAGCTTTCAGTTCGCTAATCAGCTGGTCCTTAGAACTTGCATCTCTTCGATAAGCTTCCACCATTACCTTGGACACAAGAGATTCAAGAGGACAATGTCACCTCTGTTACAGCTTTACAAATTTAAGAGTAATTTACTATAAAGTATGTACTGATATTCTTTTAATTTGGGGGGAGGGGTGTGTGTCAAAGACTACAAACCAGCATCATCTTTTGTAACATATTTACTCTGGTTCAAAAACTTTCATGTAAGCTCAGATATCAAAATACCACTATATATCAGCAGTTCATAAAAAAAACTCTGAGTAAGAGCATTTATAGCAATATGGGATACTCTTCTTCATGTTCTTTATGGAACTGCACTAATTATGTGCCTTTTTTTTTTTTTAAACTAATTGTAAAAAATTGTAAAAAATCCCGTGCACACAATTAATAACTTTTGCCATGAGAGGAGGGCTTAACTGTGACTGACAGTTTAAACAGCCTTCCCAAACTTAAACCTAACAAGTTAAAACAACCTTTGGCATTAGGTTAATAAGCAATCAAGCAGTAAATTAATGGTGCCACCCTATACATAAGACACATACATGTGCAACACTAATGACGTATCAATTTCAAATTAATGTTTCAAAACTGTGTAAATTCAGAATAAAGTTTGCAATAAAGCACTTATTTTCAATCTAATTACCGAAGCAACTATTGTTTTTCAAAGCCACAGGAAAACGAAAACACTTGAAGATTTTCATGAGTGCTTTTGCAAAAGCAAACCTAGTATCAACAAACCAGAGAGAGATTTTATATGGTGGATCATTTGGCAAGCTCCCTGAAGTCCAATGAAAGCATGAATTGGTTGGTGGTCTGCTTTTACGTTACAGGTAAAAATTTAACTGTACGAAATACAGAAACTGTGTAATTATGTCACAAAGTTCTTTGATACAGAAAATTGATTCAAATGTACTCACAAACCCCTGAGAAGTGCATGCCTTCACTGTAAAAAAAGCATATTCCTTTGTTTTATGTCTTTGAAATAGTTTGCTTTTGCTTACCTTCTGCTGCAGGAACTGTTCCTTCACTTTTTGAACCTGTTTTTTAAGGCTGGCATTTTCTTGTTGCAGATTTTCTACCTGCCAGAGGGAAAAAAAGGAAACACGTTGCTTCACATGGCAAATGTCATATTCTTTGTTATTTCAAGCAGTAACAGTATCTTTTGCTATGCTTGTACCAATTGCCTAATCTAATGAGGATCCTGTTTCTGACTAGGCATTTTCAATGGCACTGTTAGATAACACAACGTTTTATACAGAAATACATTCACAAAGGTCATCACATAGTGAGCCCTGTCAACCCTCAGAATGCATTAAGTCCCCTTATCCTGCCATTAAAGCTTTAGTATGCATCATTAGTGTACAGATGTTGTATCCGGATGGCACCTGTTCACACTACATGATCAAATGAAGAAACCAGTTGGTTCTTTGAAGGAAAAAACCCAATCTTTACGTTAAATATATTTCCATAGTTCTTCAATACTTCTATTGGTAATACTATCAAGTCCCATTATTATCTTCAAAAGAAATCTGTAAAGATTACCAGGAACTCATCATTACCAGGACTCAATAAGAAAGCTCTTCCTATAGAGCTTGGATGCTCTAAAAGATACAGAACATACATGACTATCAAACTAAGGTGTGAAAGGAAGAGTCACAATAATTTAAAGCAGTCACAAAAAGAATAAGGATATGCATTAGGCTTGATCTTGTAAAATAGTTCATTGACTAGAAAAAAGCCTCAGTTGGTACACAGCAATATGCAAAAGCAAACCCTGGTACACTGTTTCAAGAGAAAAGGCACAATTAAACATGACCAAATTACTGCATAAGGAAGATGTTTGGCCCACAATGCCACACAAAAAGGAGCACACCCAAAAATTACCTCAAAAAATGTGATCTGTACTCAAAATTATTGCGTTTTAAAACCGGTAGATTTTAGAAAGATGGTGGCTCTTGGAAACAGACAGAACAAGATCAATTAACCTCAGCCTCCCATCCCATACCACACAAATGCATAAACGCATATAGAGAGGGATATTAAGCTGTAAGCTCACCAATGATGTAACAGGATGTAAAGTGTCAGATGGTCTACCAACAGGGAAAAATGACAGAACTGATTAAAATAGTCCCACTAGCTGAATCTCGCAACTACACACGTATACAAACTCACGGGTACCAATCTCCTCTCATGCAATTGGCTCCATCATGTTCCTGTGCCTATACTTCCCTGCAACAGCTACTTTAAATACGATACTTTTAGGGATTTGTTACCTGGCTTGACTTGATTGCCATTTCTTGCCTCAGTTGTTCCAAGATCTGTGACGCTACTTCAGTATCTTCTCCAAGGCGCATTGCTCCTTCGTCAAGTTGCTCTTTGCTTGCTTTTGCTGCCTGCAGAGCTACTTCCAAGACAATCTTCTCATTCTGCAAATACTGGATCATGTCATCTTTAGAAGTAGCGTCACTTTGGAACTCTTCTAATCTGGCCTTCAGTTCATCATACTGTGTTTGCAGGTCATCCAGGGACTGCTCTTTGGTGTGCAGTGTCTCTTGGGTCAGAGTGAATTGCTTCATTAGGTCTAGGTGTTCTTGCTGTAAAGATTCAAGCTGCAGATCTCGCTGATGCAAAGTCAACTTGACCTGAGAAGATATATTTTAAAGTTAAATTAATACAAAATTAATGTTATCTTTGCAAATGCACTCCAATCAAAATAAAATTTTTTAACTAATATTTTAGCTTCCAGGAGAAAATAGCAGAAGGTGAAAATATTTTTTAACTTTCCTAGGCCACTTCTTCTATTTGCTCTATTAATTGCATTGATTGCCTTCTGCAGCATCTGTAATCTTACAGGCTAAGCAATGACCAGAATGACAAACCTAAAATATTTCTAAGTAAGATTCACAGTATTCTAAATTTTTATTTGTGTCCACAGTACATATGCCAGGTAAATTCAGTGTTATTAACGATAATGCCATATAATTACATGGAATATAAGACTGAGCTATCAGATACTTCATCTCATTCCAGCCCTTGACATGCTGCCTTCGTAATGCTATAAGGTTAAAGCAGGACTCTGTAATGAAGTGCACATTTATTACGCTGTAAGTGTATATGATGATATCCTGACTGCCTAACAACTTTGAACATGGATCTATGCTTCTTGTCTATACTTAGAATAATCACATACTGTATTCACCAAAAAAACCCCAACATCTACAAGACAGTAGTTCTGAAATTTCAAAAAAGTACTGTTACTGAGATGGTTAAAAAAAAAGGGAACCTTTTCACCTGGGACAGAGTGACTTTGATATGGCCTTCATTTTTCCAGCAACCTTTCAGGTTTTAAAAAAGTTTAGAGCTTAGGATTTATTTACTATTGCCTTTTCAGCCAAATAAGCATTTCCCTTGAAACCCTTGGGAAGTCACCTAACAAGAGTCTACCTGTTCCAATTCTTGCTCCAACGTTGCTGCAGAATCAGCCATTTTCTGAAGATGTTCTTTCTCATCCTCAAACTCGTCTAGTTTTCTCTGCAAGTCTTCTTCCACCATGGTTTTAGCCTCCTGGATCTGCATGAAGGCAGCTTCTTGATCTAACATGTCAGCCTGCACAGAAAAAGCAAGGAATCAGCTTTTACAATTTCCATGGAGGAGGAGGGGCGGGGAGGAAAATTTAAAAAAAAAAAAAAAAGTTAAAGAAAATTTCTAGACAAAAGATACAAGCAAAAATAATTCTGATGTCTGCCTTACACACCTGTACGTCTTTACTGAAGTCACCCATTCATATGCTTAAGACACCTTAGAATAACAGTGAATGTCTTGTATACTTGTGATAATCAGAATTCCTCTTAATACCATATCCTTTCTAAATTGATGAAATTGACGTAAAGAAAAAGAATCTTTATTAAAATTAAGCTGTTTGGAAAAATTCTGAAACAAAAGAGATTCCTTGGATGCTGTAGCTCCGTGAAATAGCAATTCCTGTCATTTACACAACCGCTATTAGTATCACCGGAGATGGGGTGCTTCCACTGACCTGCTGCTTTACTGCCCTTTGGGACTTAGAAGCAGGAACGTCACTGAAATTCAATGAGATTTAAGGTTCTAAGTACTTTGAAAGTGAGCGTATTACACTCTTCAGATTTTACCCATCTTTTCTTACTGGAGGGCAGAAAGTACAAACCTGAGTACTGAGCAATTTCACACACTTAAGAAGCACTTTACTGACTTAGTTTAACTTCCAATTAAGTTTTCTCTTGAAAAAGTTCATGAATGGGCAAAGGAGAACACTTACATCCACCTTTAAAATTCCATTAAAAACAAATACCAGAGCTGAAAATGCAAGTATCATCCTGGAATGGGAAACATACGGCTTTGCTCCCTCTTACTGTTTGTAACGTCATGCGAATTTATTTGCTCGGAAATATTTACTGTTTTTATAATGCAGCGTTTGAATCAATTCATAAGAATTCTATGTTACTTTGCTGGAATAGCCTTGAGTTTGCAGAACCTAAATACACAACCTAAGCAGAACATAATTCATGAAGAACACCTACAACCCTACCTCAATATTTTGCAGCTGTGCTGCAATACGTTCCTTTTCTTTAATGGATCTGTGCTGGGTTTCAGTCAGCTGCTGAGACAGTGCCACATTCTCTAGTTTGAGATGTTCCAACACACCTGCTTGGGTCATCTGCCCAGCCTAAAGGAAGGAAAAAATAATCACAGATTAATACAAACAGTCAAAATTTGGCCAACAAATTTAAGAGTTTCAGGAAAAAAAAAAAATCACATGGAAGCTATCCGTGCCTCGTCTCAGCTACTACTTTCATGGCACTACAGATCTTCATCCACAGAAGGCAAGAGCTTTGGTTAAATTTATGCCTCAGCATTAACTTGAACTAACACCTCATGATGAAAAACAAAACCACCATCCCTGCCTACTCTCCACCTGAAGAATACACAAGTGAGACCGGCTCCCTTGTCGGAGCTCATTAACAATGTCCTCTGGATAAAACTGACATAAAAAAGAACAGATGCTCAGTCCTCCCATATGCAAGTAAATCATAATACCTGTATATTGGCCATCTCACTCTGCAGCCTGACACGGGCCTCCTGTGCTAGTACAAGCTGCTGCTGGTACCACTGCCGCACATTTTGGAGCGATGTGATTTCTGTCTCAGACGCCTTTAGCTTATTGGTCAGTGTGGTCCGTTCCAACTGCACCTTCTGAAGCTGGTTCTGTAAGGAAGCCAACTGCTGTCGCAGATCATGAACTAGAAAAAGAAAAAGAAAGAACTTGGACTAGCACACTCCATTGTTCTATTTTTAGGCACACATTTTCAAGGATTATTGCTTTATTCATAGCTTTTTCTTTTTTTCTTTCTTTTTGAACAAAAAAAATATATGCCTAATTATATAAAGATTGGCTTTTCCTGCAAACGTGAGGGGAAGTGCTAGAATCCAAAGTATCAGGTCATAAGCAGAATAAAATTAAAACAAATGAATCATTTCTATAAGCATTCATAGTTCTTAGAGACAGAAAATAAGAACTAATTAAAAATCAGGAAGCAGGTATCCTGACATGTAGAGTCATCATTACAAACTAATATTTGTACAATTTTCTAAAAACCATTAGTCCACTGTCAAACAGTTACTAGACTAAATATTTATGCCTCCCTCTCCAAGCTGGCAGTGGCAGCTTGCAAATTGCGACACTTCCGTGACACAAAATAAAAACCAATCATCTTAAAATTCAGACCATTTTATTAATATGACATCAATGAAACACAGATTAAAATTCCTTCTTCCTGGACTTCAGAATTATGTTGAAATAAAATGATATATGGAATAACAAATTTTAAAGATTGACATTTACATCATCCCACCTGTGCTGTCTCTGGTGAGAACATTTTTTTGCATATCTTCAACCTTCCGCAGGAGTCTTTGGTACTGCTCCTCTGCTAACTGCAAATCATTATTTGAAGAAGCCAAACTAGCATTCTTTGCTTCCAAGGTATTTTGCAGGTCAGCCATTGCTCGTTCCAGATCCCAGCAAGACTGCTTTAATGTGGCCACTTCTGAGCTCAGAGATTCCTGCTTCTGCTGGCTGTTTTGGCTGTGCTCCATCTGTGCCTGAAGCTTCATGTTCAAAGCTGCAAGTTGGGCTTGTAGCTCAGTCTTCTCTTTGAGAGCCTGAATGTGCCCAGAAAATCAAAATACAGAAATCTTAAGAGAAAATACATTAATGGCTGACTAAAGAAGATGCCCAGCAAAATGGCTTTGCTAAGGCAAAGACCACTTGCTTGTAAAAAATTATTTTTTAAAGTGACATCTCACCTAGCAGGTATTTCAAATAGTCAAAGAAAATACAGAGGAAAGCACAGACAAGACATATAGCGTTATATGTCAGTAACCATGTCAGGATTTTTAATAAGACACGTGTTTCCACACTTTAAGGAAGAATGCTTTCTATTATATGTGTTATACCATCAATCAATACAAAGAGAAAATACAGCTATATAGACATTGCTAGCATTACTCTGGATTTATCATCTCTCTTTTAATTTGACTTTTAAAAAAAAAAAACAAAAACTTTTTTTTAAAGCCTTTGAAGACTTTACTAACTTTGTATTTATCCTCTTAAGCATCTGCATTGGGTTTGCATGGCAAGGTTTTTGTAGCGGGGGAGTTACAGGGGTGGCTTCTGTGAGAAGCTGCTAGAAGCTTCCCCTATGTTCAATAGAGACAATGCAAGCCGGCT